AACATTCCCATGTCTGCTGCTGCCTCAGGCATTCTCTCAGCAGTTCATCTTTGGGTGCCATATTACTGATGTACTCCTGGGTGCTCTGGGTTTCCTCCAGGAAAGTGGCTTTGACACTCACCAGACCCCGCCCACCCTCTTTCCAGGTGGTGTATAATCTCTCGATGTTGGACTTGGGGTGGAAACCTCTGTACATTGTGAGGAGCTTCTGGGTCTTCACATCGGCAGCCTCCATATTCTCCTTTGGCCAGCTCACTATACCGGTAGGGTATCTGATGACTGGCAGTGTATACGTGCTGATGGCATGGATCTTGTTCTTCCCACTGAGCTGGCTCTCCAGGACCTGTCTTATCCTTTGGTGGTACTTGGATGTTGCTCTCTTCCTTGCCTCCTCATCATGGTTCCCATGTGACTGTGGGATACCAAGGTATTTGTAGCTGGTCTCTATGTCTGTTATGTGGCTCATTGGTAGTTCCACCCCATCACTCTTAACTACCTTCCCTCTCTTTACTACCACCTGGCCACACTTCCCCAGTCTGAATGACATCCCAATGTCCTCACTGTAGATCTGTGTCAGGTGGATCAGTGAGTCGGTCTCGTTCATTCTTAGCATACAGCTTGATGTCATCCATGTAGAGGAAGTGGCTGATGGTAGTTCCACTCCTGAACTTGTATCCGTATCCAGTCCTTGTGATTATCTGGCTGAGGGAGCTCAAGCCTATGCAGAACAGCAGTGGGACAGTGCATCACCTTGGTATATGCCACACTTGATGGCCACTTGTGCAAGCTGTCTTGAGTTGATTTCCAGTGTTGTCTTCCACAGCCCCACTGAGTTCTTGAGGAAGGTCCTTAGTGTTTTGTTGACTTTATATAGCACCAGGCATTCACAGATCCATTTATGTGGCATTGAGTCATAGGCTTTCCTGTAGTCAATCCAGGCTGTGGTCAGATTGGTCTGCCTAGACCATGAATCTAAGGTGACTGCTCTATCTGTGAGTAACTGGT